TACTATTAACTAGTTAGAGTAGACACTCACATTCAATCAGTGTTCTGAGTCTTACAACTATCTTATACTACTGTTCTGAGTAGATACAAACACTTCTAATATTACTAACAGTTCTAATAAAGGTAACTAGATGTTCTTCTTTAACTAGAATAAATATGTAGACACATATTTTAGTTAAGGTAGAACAGAGTTGATTTAAAGGATGTCTAAAACAGAACCAGTCTAGAACCCTCTCAGAATGACTCTACTCTAGAATGTATGTAGACCTAGCCTGCCAGATTTTGTCTAAGAGTTCTCTAAAGTCTTTAGTAAAGAGGAATTTGACTAGCTTCCTAAACATTACCTCTAGGATTATACAATTAAATTGACTAAAGGTTTCTAACCTAAGGATTGTAAGGTCTACTTACTTAACAGAGACAAGTAGGAGGTGCTTGACAAGTTCCTTTAGGAAAATCTTTAGAACAGTTAGATCTGACCCTTAAAGTCTCTTATAGCCTCTCCTTTCTTCTTTATTAAAAAGAAAGATAAGAAGCTCTACTCAGTTTAGAATTATTATTACCTTAATAAGGGTACTATTAAAAACAAGTACTTACTCCTCCTAATTTAGAAGCTTATTAATAAGACACATACATTCAGGGTTTTCACTAAGTTAGACATTTAATAAGGATACAATAACATTCAGATCTAAGACAGAGATGAGTAGAAGGCTACATTCTAAACTAATTATAAACTGTACAAACTGACTATAATATTCTTTAGACTAACTAACTTGCTTGTAACATTCTAGTCATTTATGAATTACATTCTTACAGATCTGATTAACTTAGAGTATATTAGTATGTATTTAGACAACATTCTAATCTTTATTCAAACAGTTGAGTATTATTACTAACTAATTTAAGTAGTTCTATAGTAGCTCTAAAATAATAAACTGTTCCTCTAAGAAGTAAAGTGTTCTTTTACACAAGAGTCAGTAGATTATCTAGGCTTTGTAATTAGTGAAGGAGAGGTCTGTATAGATCTAGTAAAAGTAACTATAGTTTAGAACTAGTTACAACCTTAGAACCTGAAACAGGTCTAAGTGTTTCTTAGGTTTGTAAACTACTACTAATGCTTCATTTAAAGCTTTAGTACTATTGTCTAGCCTCTTTATAATCTTACTAACAAAGATGTTCCTTAGTAATAGAGTAATTAGTAACAGTCTATATTCAAGTCTCTTAAGTAGACTATTACTAGTAAGCTTATATTAGTAGTTCTAACAGTTGTAGACAAGTTCTAAGTTAAAGCTAACTCTTCTAACTTTACAAATAGAGTAGTACTATCTTAGTTTATTCAGAAAGTAGTATCTGATAGTGTTCTGATTAGAATCCCTCTCTGTAACAGAATAGAACTACTCTATCTATTGTAAGGAACTCTTTACAATTGTCTGTTCTCTAGAGGAGTAGTATTAATATCTCTTTAGTACTGTATAAAAGTTTAAGATTTAGAGTAATCACCTTAATCTCTAGTACTTCTAAGCACTTTAAAAGCTTAACTACTACTAGGCCTACTAGATGTTAGAACTGTAGGACTACAACTTTATACTAACTCACAAACCTAGAACACAAATAATAAAAACTAATTTACTCTTAAGACAAGTAGGTTATAAAAGTAGGGAGAATAATAATAAAAATCTTGTTCTTCTAAACAATTCCTGTTTTGTGTTTAAGACAATCTAAGAGATCCAACTTGAATCTGAGAATGTTAACTTTGTTACTTACATATAGTAAGCTCTAAGATACATACAAGACTAGGTTGTAGTAAAGTAGTTAGAGAAGTAGGTTAGGAACTAGGAGGAGGATAAGGATAGACAGGTTTACTAGGAAGGCTGACTGTATGTTCTAAAGGATCAGAAGCTGTAGGAGAACATTGTCTAAGCTTATTATAACAATCTGACTATAGAACATTTAAGCTAACACAAAACACAAGAACTTATTACTCAGAACTACTAGTAGTTAGGAATGTAGAGAGAAATCCTAAAGTATATAACTAGTTACAATACATACTAACAGACTAAGGCCTACTAGACAAGGGTTCAGACTCTCTTATATCTGTATTAGATTCTAGATTACTCTTAGGAAGAAGTCTTAATAGACCTGATTAGTAAGCTACCCAAGTTTTAGAGTTACAACACTATCTGTGTGATTGTCAACTAATTCTCTAAGTAAGTCTACACAGTTCTAACCTGAACAGAACTTACTTTTAAAGGTATAGTGTGTATATATTAGGATTATGTTTTCTAGTTGTACAGACTCCCTCAGAAGCTCATTCACAATTGTAGACTGTAATTTGAGTCAAAATTTATGTAAGACTTGTATACACTTCTTAGAATTCAAGAGAACCCTTCTACTATATATTACTTACAGACTGATAGTTAAACTGAGTGAGTTAATCAGAAGATTAAGCTCTATCTCTAAATGTTTATTAATTATTAGTAGTTAGACTAGTCTGAATAGTTAGCTCTGACAGAATTCATACATAATAACTAGTAATACTCTATAATAGGACAATATCTATTCTTTCTTAACTATAGGAGACATCTGTACTAGAGAATAGTTCCAAACTAGAATAGTAGTTCTGAATCTGTAACAGACTTTGTAGAACAGATACACAAGACTAGAGAGGATGTACAAGCTCTTTTAGAGAAAGTAGTATAAATTATAAAGTAGAACTATGATTAGAAGAGATCTGTAGCTAAGGATTACTAACCTAGTAACAAAGTTATACTAGAAGCTACTAATCTAACTATAGATCACTCAATAAAGAAGTTGGACAACAAGCACTTTAGACCCTTTACTATTGAAAAGAAGGTTAGTACCTCTGTTTACAAACTCTAACTTCTAGTAATATAGAAGTGTATACACTCAGTATTTAACAAGGTTCTATTGTCTTAGTACTACAATCTAAGTTTTCCTTCACAACAAAGACCCTTACTACCTTTACCAGAACTTATCAGTTCTGAACCAGAATACAAAGTAGAGTATATAGTAGATACTAAGCTAGTGTACAGAAAGCTCAAGTTCCTTATTTACTAGAAAGGATACCTAGTTGAAGAACACACTTAGAAACCTACTAAGAATCTCACCCATACTACTAAGACAATCTAAGACTTCTATCAACTTTATCTAGGTACTCTGTATTAACTCTACCTTACAGATTTCCAAACCCTACTGTTCTAACTTATACTTAAACTACTAACCAAGTCTAATGTTTACTAATTAGAATGATTAGTTTTAGAGAGGGAGTAATGTTATAGTTCTCTACTCTCACACCTTCAGTTCTGAGGATTCTACACTCTTCTGTAGTAGAACTTAGGACTTTCATCTCTTAAGAGTACTGTTTATAAACTATGTACAGACTGACTCTTACTATTACCTCTCCTTACTTTATTATTCTATTCCTTTGACTACTCTTTCATTCTCTATTTATTCTATAGTCTCTTACCTTTTATTCATCCCTTCATTCTTTGTACCTTTATCTTTGACCTTCCTTTATTTTATTCTTTGTGGCTCATCATTCTTAGTAGCTCATATTCCCTGAGTACTCTTGTATAGTTTAGTATATATAAGTGTACAAGATCAGACTAGTCCTATAGTCTTGATCTTGTCTACTCTAGATAGTCCTATACTCTTAGGCTTACTCTATATACTCTACTCTTGTCTTACTCTCTCTCTCTGTCTGTTCTACAAAGTTCCAACTACACTCTAGTGTTTACATTCTATATTTCTGTTGTGTAGGATAGTTGTAGCCTAGGTCCCCTTACTAAGCCTTTAGGTTCTCTCTATACTGTTACTGACAGTTAAGAACAAAGGAAAATTGTCTATCTAACAAACCTACTAGTGTCTTACTTTGTGATCAATATCCCTATCCAGAACTAATCATCTTTTGTAAGTGACTTTTGCCATTTTCTCTGGACCACTCTTTTTTATATTTGTAACATGTATCCTCTAAAGTTTTTACCATTTCTTGATTTTTTCCTTATATTACTTACACTGTATCTTCTATACTTGTTAATTATCCTGTAATTACATTGTTCAAGGCTTTAACAGCCTCTTACTCTGTTGCCCAAAGAAATAAATTGCTTCAACTGCTTCTATCTAGTGTACAAAGTCTACAAATTTTACAAATAACCTGACTAATAATAGAAAGCTTAACAATTTACAGTACTAATACTAAAAGTTTGAAGATATAAGTATTCATAAACTGCAAATTCATCTCTATCTGGTGGTAGGCAACAATGCAGATTGTGTTTGAGCAGAGAGAAAGCAAGTTCTATTGAATTAAAATCAGGAGAATAAGGTAGCAAGTATTTAAGTTTCATTCCTCTACACAATAGTAGGTAAACTTACTATTAAGAATGCCATCTAATATAATACTTACCTTGCCTCAATGAGTTCACGAATTCCAGGAGCTTTGTGGATTACACAATTGTCTATAATGATTACAGACCTGGGTGCTAGAAATGGCTACATTTTGACTAGGAGATCCTTAATAAACACTGTAAAGAGCTCTGTATTGAATAATCCCTCAACTATTATACATTCTATAATTCCACTCAAAGAAATGGCTGGGAGGATAGAGTACCTGACTGAAGGCATCAAAATGACAAATAGTAATAATGTGATAGTAAAGTGTGTACTGTTTTCCCCTTATAAAAACCTGTTTCTGACATACACAAGACCCCTCTAATGCCCATCCCCTCTCATACAAATATGTTCTCTGATCACAGGCACTTTCATCAACAAAGATTAACTGCTCTGGCAAATAATTGGCCCTAATGCAAAGACAATACTCTGCTCAAAGCAATTCATTCTGTTCTAGGGCATGTTTAGTAAGCTATACAATGATGATTATAATTACATACAGTAAGTCAAAGGAAGAATACAAATCACCTCCTTCATTCGAAAGCCAGCTCGATTCAGGGTTCTCCAGATTGTAGCTTCAGACACTTTCACTCCACATCAATCCTCAAGTACTGCTCTAAGCTCATCAAGGTACATATTATTATAGTGTGTCACAGTTTTTAGAAGAAACTTGTGATTGTCAGTAACATTAGTAGACTTCCTTGTCAGCAAACATACCTGTGTGTCAGCAAAGTCCAACACTCTTGGACGTCCAGGTTTGGGAAGCAGTGTTGTTTTGACTTCACCTTCCAGCCTCCATGTGCTCAAGATGTGGTAGACTGAATGTTGAGGCATGCTAGTCAGATAAACAATCCTATTTATGTCAAGTCCACATACTGTACTCATGTGAATGACAACACATCGAAGATCTTCTGACAATGGAACTCCACGAGTCATGAAGCTCTCAGAAAAAGTGTGATGTTATAATACGGATGAGAACTTGAACAAGAACGAGAAAAAAAATGAGAATGAGTCATGTGACCCATGCTCAATATGGTACCGCAGATCCCGAAACTCCCAAACCTTTGCCATTGATTGATCG